CGCACGCGCGTTGTTGTGCGCCTGGTCGAACATGCGTGCGGGTGGCCTTGCGATGAGCTTGTCCTTAATTTGTGGTCACTCGCTTGGCTTCTCTTCCATTCCTCGCTTCGTCTTGACCCTAGTAGGTTCTTCATTGGCTTTTAAAATGGTCAAAATTTATTGTTGGGTCCAATGGAGTTTCATTCATTTTGTGGGTTTTTTTCAAGCTTTTGGTGTAAGTGGAATCTTGGAGCTTTGGGTCCATTCTGATCACACCAAAGGCAGGACAAGCACAAGATGCACACAACACTAGAGACAAAAACATACATATTTCTATTCATTAAAGCACTCAAAATATATTTGGAGGAAAGGTAGACATATTGATTTAAGATATAAAACTAACTAGTAGAAAAGCAAAAACAGAAAAATAAATGCTGAAAAGTAAAAAACAATTTGGTTTGTTGGTTGATTTGTTTAGAGAGATATGAGGTCCTAGAGAGAGACTTCATTTTTTCTATATTGAGCTACTTTCACTCTCCTCTTCCTCGGAGTCACCACCCGCAACTTCATCCTCCTCCTCATATTCAGAGTTATATTGCATCAAAGCTGTCATAACAGAAGGCACCGAAGAAGATGTAGCTGCTGCTGTTGGGCTACACCCTCCAAGATAGTCTTGAGCTTATTTTCACGATTGGTGAGTTGCTCTGAAAGTGCGGCAACCATTTGTTTGAGCTGAGACAGCTCAACATAGATTCTAGCTTGGTGGGCCATCATTTCATTGATGGCCCCTATGAGGATCGCACTTCTTCGCGAGAGCACAGGAGACATTAGAGGCTGGTGGATAAACCACTTCTCCATTATTCGTCTTGAATGACAAGAGCATCTTGCTTCAGACGAAGCTTTGAGATGAGATGTGGGAAAACAAGCGACCCATCCTCTTCATCACACACTGGATGATTTCATGATGGATTATTTGACTAACATCAATGGATTGTCCCTTGAGCAAGCATGACAATATAAGGACTCCCTCCTTTGTGATGGATGAGACATGCTTGGTCGGCATAATTATGCTCTTGAGGAAATAAAGCTAGACATTAGATTCGGGTGTGACAAAAGAGGATAGCAGCGAGTGGCCGCCCTGTGGCCCACTACAGATAGGGCGCGAGCCAATTGTTCTTCCATTGGCTCCAGCATCGTTGCATTGAAAACAACATAAATGTTAGAGGGTAGAGGGTAGGTGCAAGGTGCGATTAATCTTCTTCGGCGTCGAATCTACCTCCACCTCCCCGACCACTGTATGGCCGATGCTATCCTCGTTAAAATTGGCATAAAATTCTCGAACAAGGCGGGGGAGCAAAGGCCCACTGGAGCACTGAAATACGCCCAACCATTCTTGTCGATCACCTCTTGGACAAACTTCAGAACAAAAATTGATAAAACCTCTTCATCCTTAAATTCTTAAATTAAATATCAAAAAGAAAACTCACCTATAATTATAAATATTAAAATGTAACAACAAAGAGTTTTTATAACATTGAAATTATGAAATCGAAAAGTAAAATTTTATAGCATTAAACATAGCGTAGAAAAAACATTATTCAAAATTCAAAGACTTTCAACATCACCTACCACGGCGTTATCGAAACGCTGTGGAAAGTTCTACAATAACAATTTTTCAATGTTATCACATGTGATATTTGTTGTAGTAGGAATAGGTTGAATAAGTAGAGACACCACACGATCCTTCGTTTCTTGATGTTCTATCGTATGTCCATCCCCATATTGATACATGCATTGAGCGGTTCGACTAACATTTTTAGCCATCTCAACGAACAGTTGAGAAAAAACAGAATTGTCTTCCGCAACCTTGTTTAACTTCTTCCATGTTTCATCAATCAAATATTTGATATGCTTGCGAGCATCAACCTCCGAAGCTCCGGTGTCATTCATATAACATTGTATTGATTTTGGAACATCCCCTCTTATTTGTTCATCCTGAATGAAATTTACAAAAATTATACAAAATATGTTATCAGAATTGTTAAAATGAAAAAGGTCACGAAAAAATAACTTGGATTTCTATTCCATTGAAGTATTGGTTATACCTTCTAGTTTCTTACCTGGTTCATTTTCAATGATCCTTTTTTTATCAAACACGTGGACACAATTAAAGCGAGCATAATTCAAGACGTTAATTAACACATATCTCCTTGATTGTAAGTTCGAACCTCAATCCCACATGTTGTACTAAATAAAAATAATAATAACACGTGGTCGCACGTGAAGTTTTTTAGTTTTGTTATAAAATATGAAAAAACTAAGGTTAATAAATTTAATTATATGTCAATAATTAAATGGTTAAAATCGTTATGATTTAATATAATATTATATTAACATTAGTTTATCTACTAAATAAGATATTGACTAATGATGTTTGACTAGGTCGAAGAACTAAGACGTTTCCCAATTGCTGAGAAAACTGAATACAAATAAAATAAAATAAATATATACAGCCTATTTACATTATTGAAATTATAGAGACGATTTGTTAGAAGAATTCAGTTCACCTGAGTTTTGAGAATGACTCTAGATATTTAAACATTACGGAATATATATTAATGACGAGAACAATATTTTTAGGTTTGAATCCTAATATTTTTCTTGTTAAATAATTATTGAAAACATAACCCTAAAATATGTTTTTATGCAGAACTTTAAGAATTCAAATATGATATATTTTATAATTTGATAAAACATCCCAGAGTTTATGAACCAAAATAATATTTAAATCATATTTTTGCATTAAAATAGATTTTTATTACAATTAATATGTAATTCTTAATATTGAAATTAATGTACTAATGTTAGTTAATGATTTAGCTTTGTAGTAAAGGCATCTACTCCAATATATGAATTATGGTATGGATTTATATTAAAAACTAATAATAAGATTAGTACTTTGATCAAATAAGAATATATCACATTATTAGATTAATTCATCGGGTTAAGAATTATATAATAAGCTCTCGTGTCTATATATATATTACTTTTACTAAATATTAAGGGTTGTTATTCACATACCGATGATGTTCCTAGATCGTCGGCAAGTCGCAAGATCGTGGATGACCAACGGAATATATCAATATTGTTCTCCAAACTCTCCAAATCGTCCTTTACCATTGGAGATGTCGCAAGAACATATGCATGAACTAATATGACTGTGCCTGATATTGAAACCCATGCGTTGTCCAAATATTCTTGCAATGTTGGTTTATAACCATTATGATACCACTTTGCCTCCAACATATAAGATTTGCACAAATCTACCCACTGTACAGATCAATTTTGAGGAAATAAATTACATAATAATTTTTCAATCTCTCAATCATGTTAAAAAGTTAAAAAAAAATAATACTTTCATATTAAGCTCATACCGATTTCTTAAGGCATTGGATGACATTTACTCCTTTGTCTCTTAATAGTTCAAAAGTCATGTCATTAATCGTATTGTAGAGAGCAAGAAAACATAGTTTCATGTAATCAGGAAGTTGTTCCATTGCAACAATATCCCATCTGAAAATTATCATTTGAAAAGGTTCATAAGTTCCGCACAAATTTTAGTCCAAAATTAATATATATATATTCTTAAATTAAAAAATAGAATCACTAAATTACTTACTTTTCTACCACATTAGTGAAGAGCTCAAGTTCTTCCAATGTGCCGTAAACATCATAGACATCATCAATAACTGTTATCAATGCATTAACCTTGGTAGACATTCTTCTAAAATATCCAAGTTCAGGTTGAAATCCAATGCCTACTGTCCACATGAAACTTTCCATCAATCGATCTCTTGCAAAGCTCAACTTTTCTGCAATGCCAATGCTTCTCCACCACCTTTATAGTAAAAAAAATCAAGTCCAAGAGGGTAATTGTTAAAAATGATGAGAAAACACGTGATTTTCAACTCAACAAATGTTGAATGGTAATCATAATATTATGTTCTTACTTGGACGCATATTTAAGATCTTCCTGGTGGATAGATTGTACCATGTTGAAATCTAATTTAGCAATTTCAAGAAGAATAGGATTCATATGGGCTTTTCTTTCATATATGTCAATGAACCACCTTGCCTCCAGTCTAGGCACTCTCCAATGCAAGGGAAGCTCCAAAGCATGTCTAACAATGGCTACATCGAGTTCATTCCTACTCGATGTGATGTATTTCTCTAAGCAGTTGGTCGTAAAATTTTTTGCGTCCTCTAAAATGTTTTCACCTTCAATAGATAAGAACGAAGCTTCATATAAAGACATCATTCCTTTTATATCCACACATAAATATGTGCTGAAATGTGATGTTCTGTCCTTGAAGTTATTGAAGACCTCTGTAATAAAAAAAAAATGTTTAAATATAAAATTGCATTAACTTTAATTATCATCTTAAAACCTAGATAATGAGGAGAGATCTTCTCTCCACTTTATAACCTAAGAACAATTGATCCATAATAAGTGTGAAAAAACTTAGCAATATTAAACTCACATATCAGGTCTTGGATGTCAATTTAAATTTAAGCATATTTTTTTTTTTGCTGTCCCTCATTATTTCGTTCGTGTTTTAATTTTTGGTCGTCATTAAATGCTCAAGTGGTTGTAGGGCATCCTGCCATCATCTATCTTTTCGTGGACTATTTGGTAAAATTGTTGTAATATATAAACTTTGATACCTCTTTGGGGATAATATAAACTCTAACAATTCCTTCATTTCGCTGCGGTCATTTTGATAGATTTAAAATAATAATAATTTAAAAAGAAGGAACAAACCGATTGGACTTTGGCCCAAAATAGATAGTGTTGATAAGATTACAAAGAAAGGGAATATTTTTAATAGCCCATTTTTTATAAAAGACAAAAATTTAAAATATTGCAAATGTGGCCCTTTACATACTCGTTTGGGTATTTGATTATTCTAATATGGCCAAAATATCGCTAAACACCATCTAATAAAATCTTACTATTTTATAGTTCAAAAAAGTTAAACTTTATTTTTCTCAACAAATAATAATAATAATAATAACAATAATTAAATAAAAACTATACCGCATCCGTATCTAAATCTAGAAAAAATAAACGTCGTTAAAACGGTGGCTGTCGAAATAGTTTTCTAAAAAATAGAGGAAAATAACTTTATTCAAAAATAGTTAAATAAAAAAAATTAAAGAAAGAAAGAAACTCAAAAAGAGGAACCACCGACACCGTCAATTGTAGTGCAAAGTATATGGAATGGGACTTCAAAAATTTTACAGGGAAAATCACACATGATGAGAAAAATGTAGACAGTATGTAAACCAATAGAAACAAAGGTATAAAGTAGGGTAAATAGAAAGATGGGTGTATATGTTAATAGATATTAAAAATAATAGTAAAGATTAAAATGGTAATGGGAGCATATGTTGGGAAATCGATTCAGTATAGTATAAAATCTAAGATATTTATGGCAAATAGTAACATAAATGTAGTAATAATCTAACAATGATTTATAATAAATATGAGCTACTCCTCTTATTGTTAGTTAATTTTGAGATGAAATCTCATAAATATTAATATGGTATTAGAGTTCAAAATGCTCAAACCAGCAATTGATCCAGAAATGGTATCCGACCAAGATCGATGAGCCAAAAGATCCACGATCTTGAGGGGCATGTTATGGATCCCACGTTAAAAAGAGAGGGGCTACTCTTCTCATTGCCAATTGGTCTTGAGATGGAACTCAATAAATATTAATATATATCATAAAGGTGCAAATAAAAAATATATGAAACGTAGAGAAAATGAAATGAAACCTAGAGAAAATGAAAGAGTAAAAAGTACAATGGAGTGAAAATGGAAAATGTTATTAAATGATGTAAGATGATTTTACATAAATATAAATCTTGCATAATGTATAAAAATGAGCCAAGTGAAAAAAAAAAGAAAAAGAAAAAAGAAAAAATAACATGAATAATCTCGAAATGAAAGTTGAGGGTGATAAAATAGAATCTGCAGATTGGGTAACAATTAAACCAAGGTAAAAATAGACATTACGTGGAGATAATTTGAAGTTTAATTATGTACTCAAACTTGACGAATGTTTACTAATATAAAAAGAAAGGTAAAACAATATACCTGGTGAAACACTAAATCCATGTTGCCTCATGAGTCTAAATTCAAGAGCTGTTGCATAGACATCAATTTTCTTGCAACTATTATTTCCTTGATCACTGCGGTATCTTCTTTCCAGTATACCCTTAATCTCATTCTCAAAGTGGTATGAGATTCCAAGTCGTTGTAAGGTATCGATAAGATCGAGTTGTTTCAGAGGGTCGTCAATTATATGATTCATGATGCCTTCTACCTCTTTTTTTAACATGTTGAAACGATCTACATATGTTTCTCCCTAACATGACATGATTAGAGGTTCGTTACCAACAAACACCATAACTAAATCGAAACGAAAAGTAGTAAAATAACACCACCAAATGAATAATTTCATTCATTTTTACCATAAATTCACTTGACAATGATTGGATGAATTCATTTTTCCAAATAGAAGGATGAAAATTTGCAGAGCGTCGAACGATGGTCGTGTTAGAAGACATTGTTGCAATGCCTTTTGCTTTAACAACACGAGGGACAAAAGAAGGCTCGAGACTAAAGGAAACTTGTTTGGTGAAATGGGTCATTGGGGAGGAAGAAAGAAACTGGTGAAGAGCCATGGAAAGAGAGAGGACTGTGGATTTGATATTATGCTGAAGAACTTTGGTGTGACTGGTGAGAGCCATAAAAAACTCTAATTTATAGATGATTAAAAAGCAATTATATTTTTATTAAAAATAAAGAAAAGAAAAGAAAAAGCAATTCTATTTTTAAATAATATATTTTCGACAAGATTTTTGTAGATCTTGCCTTATTGCGAGTTCCTGCCCCCGCTCCCAAACTTCACGTGCAACACGTTGGATTTTTTTAATCTTTAAAAAAATAAATTTTTTTTTTATTACAATAAAAAATATTTTCTATTATTTGATTAAATTTTTTGATATTTTATTTTGATTTCTTGGGGAGGAATGAGAATGCATGAAGAGTGACTATTTTTGTTTTTATTAAAATGCAGAAATACAATATCTATCTTAAATTCGGAATCACCCCTAAAAATATAATCTCATTCACAAAAAAATTTCAGTACTATGAACCCATCATAGTCGTAGATTTTTTTTAAATAATATATTTTTCTTAAATGACAAAATAGTGCACGTTTGAAAGTGTTCTCAAAATGCATGTAAAGACTACGATTTGAGGTGAAATCATAGCAATGGTATGAGATTTAAGTCGAAATCACGACCAATAATCACTATTTTGTAGAAGTCGCAGCCATTGGCCGTAACTTCGATTTGACATGACTTTCAGCGAGCCACGTATTAAAATATAAATCACATGCATTGGCTCCAATCTTTATTCAATATATATGTTTTCTTTACACAAAATCACAAATCTCACATGTTCGGTAGTGGCTCGCTTGTTTCATAGTTATCCTTTGTTGCTTGAGTTTGATTCCCTCTTAACATTCTTTAAATTGTATTTTTTATTTTAATTTCTTTCTTATAAAAATATCTCAATTGCGATTAGTATTTTTTAAAATAAATTTCTCTCCAAACATTTCAATTTCTTTATTATAAAAATATCTCAAATATAATTAGTATTTTTTGAAATAATTTTATTCTCCATACAACAACCACACTACTATTTTGAAATATATTTGTCGTCCTTTCTATCTAATTATTCTCGAAAATTTAAGTATTTTTATTTTCAATTTGTAAGTTATTCTACTGATATATTTTTGTTTATATTTTAAAAAAAATATTTTTCTATAAAAAAATATGATCTGAGATTTATTGAAAAATTTTGGTCCATGATATAAATGTAATTAGACATATTTTGTAAAAAGGAAAAAAATCTTAACTTGACATAAGAGTTAAAATTACTTAACTTAAATAAAAAAATACATTTTTTTCTAAAAAAACAATATTCAAAAGTTAAATAGAGCTAAACTGAAACTCAACAATAAAAAAAAGACGTAAATAAGAAAATTAAATAAAATAATATTTAAAAATAGACAAATAAAAACATCACAGTAAAAATATATTTAAAAAAAATAAGAAAAAATGTTCAAGCAGATGTAAAAAAGAAAAATAAACAAAAAAACATATTTTAGAAAAGAAAAAGAAAACATAATAATAATAATATATTGAAATATTTAAAAAAATCAAAAAATGACAAAAAAAAACATAACAATAAAAATATATTGAAAATAAATTAAAAAATAACGAAAAATAAACAAAAATATATCTAAAAAACAAAAAATAAAAACATCACAACAAAAATATATTGAAAAAACAATTTATAATATATAAAAACAAATTCATGTGATTTGAACGGAAAAGATAGAGGCCAAGATAAAATGTCAAATTGAGAGGAAAATCATAGCTAGGGCAAATAAAGAATACATCTAACCAACTACTAGAGCCCAAATATCCGAGAGAATAGTGTCGGGGCACTTGAAAAGGCGCCAACACCTGAAGCCGAAAAACACAAAACTTGAAAATTGTGATTTGAACAGAGAACATAGAAGCCAAGATAAAATATCAAATTGAGAGGAAAATCATAACTGGTGCGAATAAAGAAGACATCTAATAAACTAATAGAGCCCAAATATTCGAGAGAATAGTGTCGGGGTGCCTGAAAAGGCGCCACAACGTCTGAAACAGAAAAACAAAAACTTGAAAATTGGCCCGAGAGGCTAGCATTTAGGTGCTACCTCACGGTGACTACACACTGCCCACAGCATCGCGGTGCTGCAGCGCTCCAAACACTTTTTAGTCTCAATTTTTACCCTGTAGTGTCATGGTATTGTTGGAGTTTATTTTCCATAATGAGAAAAATGACCTATTGATGGAGATTGGAGAAAGTAACTCAAAAGGTTGGTTCAACAACTTGGCGAACCGCTCACATCGGTCATAGTTCTTGACAAACTCCTTTGTGGGTTACCGAATAATATCCTTGTTATGGATGAGAAAATCCCTATTTTCTACAATTCGAATTCTCCTTATTTAAGGGATTAAAAAGGGAAGATATATCTTGATGACCTTATGATTCAGGAGAATATATCCTATATTCAAAAAGAGAAGATATCCTGATTGCCTCAAGATTCTCCTCAGATTTAGATAACCAGATTTCCTAGATGTATCACGATTTGAATTCCACCATCACAGAGGGATCAGGATTCAACTCCTATAAATAGGGAAGTAAATTAAACCCTAAGGTATGCTCACAACACTCTACACTTTATACTCAACTACTCTGGTTCTGACTTAAACATCGGAGCCTGTGTGGCAAGAGCCACACCTGTCTTTAGTGTTATTCTGTTTTGCAGGTCTCGTCGATCCCTTTATTCTAGAAGATTGGTGCGAATTTGGCGGAATCCCAGAAGGCCAAATTTATGCATCAACAATTGGCGCTGTCTGTGGGGAACGACTAAGATCTAAAAGTCAAGACGATTGACGACGAATTGACCGAGAACTACTTAGATCCAAGGAGATCTCTGGAGAAACGAATCGACATGTATTCTGGAAGCAAACCACAACTTTCTAACAACGAATGCCATACGACTCGAAACAAATCAATGAGTTCTGAGACAGAATCCAGAATGAACGAATCAACAAATCCCAGGACGTCCTGGATGAGATAACAATGGATTCCAAAACAGACTCTGGGATAAACGAGTCAACAAATCCCAGAAAAGAAAAAGCAACTGATTAATATATGGAGTTTCTACTTCAGACGATGGTAAGTTTGTTGTGTAATTATGATAGTTCATAATTACGAGAGTTTAGGATTGATTTTTTGGTAACTGCATGTTAATAGTATGTTTCCAAAGATACTTACTCGTTTGTGATTTAAAAAAGCTCCTAGCATCTGAAATTTAATTAATTCCTTATTACTTGAGTAATTATCTTTTTATAAATTCTGAATAAGACTTTTGACATTTGAAATATAATTAAATCCTTACTACTTGAATTTGGCGGAATCCCAGAAGGCCAAATTTATGCATCAACAATCCTTGTCGAACAAACTTTACCATCTAGGATCAAGACCCTAAATGATCGTTGCAAACTTCTTCATGGATCTCTATCATTGCATAGTTTTCTAGACCAGGGCATCTAGGTTGAGGCAAAAAATAGTCTTTCTTATACGGCTTTCCATCATTGACAATTTAGACATCCCTAAAGCTCGTATGAAGAGGGATTTCCTATGAAAGAAAATGCCTGTATTATATCAATACAACAAGGTAGTCAAACCATTATGTCCATTGGACAAGCTTCAGGAATGGAAGGGCTGGGAAGGATTTCAACTTGCACTATTCTACTAGCTGATGCTTATTTAGCTAATGCATTGGCATTGAAATTATCTAACAAATGTTGAGGTTTATTGAGGACGTCAACAAATGTTGAGGTGGACTTTTTGCTAAAGGACCATATTGATGAGATGTTAATCCCGAACGAAAGCAGTAGAACGTGTTCTTGAATTTACCATTGAAACATGAAACATAGAAAAATAAAAACAGGGGAAAAGTCTTTTACCTTTGAAGCTTTCTTTTCCTCTGTAACACCAAAAAGGACACCACTGTTCTTCCCTACTGTTCTCTAGACGTCAAGAATTCGGTTACGTGGGAACCTTATTTGAAGAATACAGGAAATCTTTTGGTGAGAAAGAGGGCAATCAACAACTTGGAACCCATAAATGCACGTTCTCTACGTTTAACAATGGTGGGTGAGGAGGTTGCTTCCTCCCCACTCCTCTCCCTGTCTATAAAATAAAAGTAGTGTTTTTGTTCAAAGGTTGAACATCCTCTCTCAAAAAGCACTCTCTCAAAGTTTCCCTCACTTTCGAAAGACGGTTCTCACAAACTGGTCCATGCCAATAGAATAGTAGAGAAACTTTTTGGTGGCATTGGTGTCTACGTCGAAGAATGGTCTTCAAAGGTAGGTTGCTCTACTTCCCTTTTCTAATGCTTATGTATTTTCTTGTATTTCTAAAACAAAGTTGAAGCCCTTTCATAAACGAACCGGTTCAGTGCAGCTATTCGACTGTTAAGGCATTGGAGCTATTTTAAGTTCTTTGGTGGCTCCATATCGACCACGGCTTGGATCTTGTCCAGATTAACCTCAATCCAGTAATGGTTGAACATGAAGCCAAGGAAGTTGCCTGAAGCGATGCCGAAGGCGCACTTTTTGGGGTTCCTTCATGTGATAGTGGCGCAAGACTTTGAAGGTTTCTGTCACATCAGCTATGTGTGAGTCGGATTGCTTGCTCTTGTTGGCTTTTTGGCCCTTAATCTCGATTAATTAATTTAATTAATTAATGTTTCAATGATAACAAACACACTTAGTATTAATTGTTTTTGGTGTGAGAATTATTGTTATAAAGCATAAATTTATTATGAGCTTCAATTATATTATATGATTTATTGTAATACATATTTTGTTATTTGACAATTTTAGTGTTTTAAAGTATCTATAGTGCAGAGCTCGATACAACGATTCCAATGATATTTGAATCGCCCAAATCGAAGCTCAAACAAATAAATTATGATAAAAATAAATTGAAAGGAAAAATACTGATAGGATGACGTACAACTAAATCAACTAAGCGGACCAGTAAAATAGCGACCCGTGGCGAGATGTATTTAGTTTAAGAAAAAAAGAGAAA